TAAGAGTCCCCCAACCACTGATTGCTTTCATCTCGACGACTACAACCAAGCAGTCAAATACCGCCTTCAAGTCAAGAAATATGGCAAGTATCGGTCGTTGGTAGGTATGCCTGTGTTCCAGAAACCCGTCGGAGGGTGAACATCTGGTAGACGAACCCTAGTCCAGGTCTGAAATTTGCCTGGTTTCATCGAGTTTGCTGTTCTCGAATTCCAGTTAGGCGTCGTATAACTATAACGCTAATCAAAGCTCTCCACTCGAACTCACCCAGCCATCTGAAAGCTTACGGAGAGTTGTCATGTTAATTGACAACAACTAGGTGTCCTCCAGAGATGCCCACTGTCACCGTTTCTATATAAGTTCGTCATAGACGTACTAATGGACAGAACTTTAGTTGCGTCTGACTTTATAGGGAATAACCTACTACTTGGAGTTATCTGGTTGACTTAGAGTATGCAGACAACATTGTACTGCTAGGTGAAGACACGGACAAAATTCAAGGTCTTCTCAACACACTGAGCAGAAATCTGAATGTGTTTGGCATGCGTTTTTCACACCTGCGAAAATGTAAGATGATGCTCCAAGACTGGTCTGCTGCATGTACTCAGTTTAGTGATAAAGAGTGAAGTAGCGGAGTGTGTCGACCACTTCACTTACTTGGGAAGTGGCATCAGCCCGAACAGGTTGGTTGCTGACAAAATCCCAAGCTAGATACAGAAGGCTCACTTAGCATTTGTCAGCTCCCGTCAGCTCTGGCGCTGACTAAAGAAATATCCAACCACCTATCAAAGGACGAGTGTACTGAGCTACATTTCGTTCTGTCCTTTTGTATGCCTGTGAGATATGACGTGATTACAGGGTTTTGATCACAGATGCCTTTGTAGCACTGCTCGCATTTGGTGGAATCACCATGTGAGTAATCTTGAGGTCAGGTGAAGGGTACCAGGCAAGACGGGCAAGTCGATTGATGAGGCTGTGAACCCTAGTCGACTGAGATGGCTTGTACATGCGCAGTGCAAGCTGATCCACTGCCTACCTCGACGTCCTATGCCGGAAGAAATTGGACTAGGTTGGAAGACGGTTCAGGGTGGCCAGACTAAGATGTGGCGCCTGTCGATGAAGTCTCTGAATGCTGATCTGAGTCACGTTGAGCGGTGTAACTCCTTAGTTCGGGTCACCAAGATGATATGAATCAGCGCTCGAGAACTCTTCATAATATGAAGGAAAATCGGCCACAACAGCGCAGATGTATTCACTCTTTGATGTTCACCAGGGTGCCAACGCTCAGCTTCGAATTCCTTCTCTAACACAACTTTGTCCACTTCGATAAAACCTTCAGTATCAACCTGTTCTTCGTATACTACCGTAAAGTGTGGTAACTTGAACCGACGCACTTGCGTGCAAGGTTCCATTTTGATTGTATCCTTTTGTCTACGTAGCTTTAAAATGATGGACGATTTGTATAGTGTTTCTACTCCCATCCATAATTTTACGTCTTAACTATCTGATATTTTATCATGTCGACTACTTCTTATTTCTTTTCGTATTTCATATAAATATGCATGATATGTGCGTAAACAGATTTTTAGAAATGTATGCACCAACGATTGTGATATGCACCATATTTAGTTCAAACGTCTGTCTAATTACATGGAATTCTTACCCAGAAAAATTTGGCTGGTAAACATGCAGTTACGAAGATAATTTAGCAAACTTCACTATCTAAAAGAGCCAGTGAATATCAGCAGCTTCCTCCGAACTAATGGATGCACGTGAACTCACCCCTACAGGCTCTGAGTACAATGAAGAGCGAGCGCAACTTAAAAGTAGATTGAGAAAAAGTCTACACAACGACCGCGAACAGTGGTGGGTAGCGAAGGGTATAGAGATGGAAAAGACAGCGGCGACTGGTAACAGTAAACAGTTATTTAGACTTATTAAGGGAACTGGGGGGGGGAGGGGGGAAAGTCAGCAACAGTTAGTGAGGCTATATCGGAGATGGACGGATTTGCGATTCACTGGCAGGGGAGACGACTGGAACGATGGGTAGGACACTTCGAGGAACAGTTCAACTGGCCTCCAGCCACCATTGCGTTCTCTGCTATCCAGTTGCGTCCTGAAAGGAACATTTAGATGGGCCCCTCCAACACTTGCAGAAGTCGAAAAAGCAGTAGGTAACCTGAGACGAGAGGGGCAGCATGATGAAACTAACTAACTCCTGAGGTATACAAGGATGGTGGTAAGGTGCTCTTAGGTTAACGGAAGTGTTAACCAGTATATGGGAATCAAATACGATCCCCTCTGACTGTTCTAAATCACTGATTGTTCCAGTCTTCAATAAGGCGAGAAGTCCTCTTGTGATAACCACAGAGAAATCAGCCTGACGAATATAGTATCCAAAATTCTAGCTCCCATAATTCTTCGACCCCTGAGTGGAGCTAGGGAACAGCAAGTCCGAGAAAACCAAACAGGCTCTAGACCCGGCCATACGTGTATTGACCAAATATTTACATTGCGCCAGGTTCTGGAACACAGGCATGCTTACCGACGCCAGACGATAGCTGTTTTTCTCGACCTGATGGCGGCAGCATTCGATTCTGTCAATCGAGAAGTCTTATGGCAATGTCTTTCACTGAAGGGCGTGCCGAGTAAGTACATCACCTTACTGAAGGCTTTCTACTCGAACACTTGTGGGCGCGTTAGAGTCTATAGTGAGATGTCAGGTGAGCTGTACTCATCGAGTGGTGTCCGTCAAGGGTGTCCACTATCTTCATTCTTATTCAATTTTATTATTAGATTTTCTCATCGAGGTCTCCCTCTCGTCACCTGACTACACAGAGACTGACCTAATCGCGGGAGAATTTTCGTTAGACCTAGAGTATGCAGATGACATAGTCGTGTTAGGTGAAGAAGCTGACAAGATGCAGTCTTCGGAACACTTTGAGTGGCAGCTTGACAATGTTTGGGATGCGTTTGTCACCACCCAAATGCAAACTGTTCCCCCAGGATTGGTCTTCAGTAGTGCCACTGCTAATAGTAGAGAGTGAAGTGGTTGAGTGTGTCGACCACTTCACCTACCAGGGAAGTAGGATCAGCCCTGCCCTGGTGCCTCAGTGGTCGATGGAATCTCTGCAGGAATACAAAAGACTCGGTTGGTTTTTGCCAACTTACGTCACCCATGGTGGGGCCGTGATATCCGACTGTCTATTCAGGGTCGCGTATACTGCACAGCAGTCCGCTCTGTTCTACTCTATGGCTGTGAACATGGCCATTGAAGGTGGAAGACATGAGAAGGCCTCAAGTGTTTGACCACCGTTGCCTTTGTAGTACAGGCCGTATTCCATAATGTCACCAGGTGAGTAACACAGACGTCAGGTGTAGAGGTAAATGTGTTGACGAGGTTATGAACCTTCATCGCCGATTGTCTCGTCACACAATGTTGGCTGAAGTAGGTCCAGGTTGGAGAAAGGTCCGAGGTGGCCAGACTAAAACATGACACCAATGTATGAAGTCTTTGACTGTTGGTATGAGTCATGTGGGCGACGCAGACTAGCCGGTTGGGGTCCGCAGGACAAGAGAAACCAGTGATTGGAGACTCTAGATGATATGGTTCAGAACCGATGTCAGTGGCGCAGATGTATACACACTATCCTCATCTTAACGACGCTATACCAAATCTCAACAATTTCTCATTCTTCGTTCCTCTCTTTTCGTACTTTATATTTTTGACTGAATTTCCTCATCTTCATCTTGCACTTCGCTGCCTTTTTACTTGATGAACTGATATGAGCTGTGGCAACTCAGACCGATAAGCAGTAATGCCTGGTCCTATGTTGATAATGATGATGACGAACTAATAGAAAAGTGAGATGACATGTACTTGTCCGCAGTGAATAATCAAGTCTGAAAATCAGCACACAGAAAACAAAACCAGATACAGCACAGTCTTTATTTATCTTTATAAATGGAATCTTTGAATTTACTGCAACACAACCAATTGATTTTTCAGGTATCATTAAGTGAAAGTAATGACTACTTTTAAAATCTAGAGATGCCATACCAACGAACGGAAGATTTAAAACCAGATTAAGCTAGGTTAAATTAACTACTAAGAAGCCATTCGCCTTGGAATGAACGAGGAACTTTCATGTCATTCATTCAATGTCACCTAATGTGAACTTCCAAGAAGTTCCAAGTTGTTAAAGAAGCATTCGAACGATGAGGTTAGGTAACCAGTTATGATCTGAAGAATGGTTACTACCTCGTCCCTTCCATTTAACAAGCTTGTGGAGGGTGACGAAAAGGTACTGCTAAAACTACATAGTGTACCCACTGAAAAGTTTACCTTTTTACTAAGTTCAACCATTAGCTTGTGGTTTTTATTTTTCAGCCGAATTTCTCCATGTATTGGCACAAGAAGGAATCCCCAAAGCCATAACAGCTGACATTCGCTATTTATCCGGTTAAATGTTTGTGAAATATGCCCTAACTATGTTCTACATTCCCGTTTCTTTTCACCCAGTAGTTTCTAAACCTATCACTAACCGTAATATGCTTTGTAAGCATTCTTCCTTATTCTTACCCTAACTTAATATTCACATTTTAGGTACTCAAATAATAACAAGTCCCTTAATCTGATTGTTTTTCCTCAAAATACTCCAACTACAGACTGAAAACAAGATGTCCACAAGCTGGAAACCACTAACCCTGGAGCTACACTGAGACGGGTACAAAATGAAGAAAGCCAGCCATAAACAGCCAGGCCGGAAGACCACACCGGAGATTACAAACTAATCGCCCTTTAAACTAACACCATTGGTGCTGGATGATTAACACCGTGGAAGTGTGGCACGCGTACAGTAGGTATAGATTAATTCAAGTGGTAGTTGTGAACTTCTACTTACTACACTGAAAACCATGTGGTTAATTAAGAAATCAAAACACAATCACTTAGGATTCTAAAAGGGGAAGTGCGAATCACTGGTATTAGGAACCAACAAACCTTTTATATCTCTGTGTATTTTGCTTTGGCTGTGCAGGTAGTCTAATCCCTTCAAATCTCCCTAAGAATCGTAGATATATGAACTTCAGGTATGGGTCCCGGCTTCATCAAATCTAAAGCTGATCCACCACCAAGATATTCCATAACGATCCACAGTGTAGTGTCTTTCAAATACGAACCATGATACTTCGTAATATAGGGACTGTTGCATTGAGACAAAACCTTAATCTCCTGTTGAATATCCTCAATTTCGTCTTCGGCAGCCTCAAGATCAATCAGCTTGATAGCGACTACCTCCCTTGTTTTTCTGTCAATACCTTTATAAACTTCGCCGAATGAACCTCTGCCAATCCGTTCAAGAATATCATAGATTGTCTCCGGATTCACATTCTGGTAAAAATAAAAGCAGATTTTTGATAAGTAAATGATCTTCAGTCGTTAAAAGATGTTTTTCAGGGGGGAAATAACGGAACTTACAACTTTTAATTGCGTACCCTCTTGGTCGGGCATAGTCTGCAAAAATCTCTAAACCAACCGCTTCACCTTTATCCGAACAAACAAAATGTGACTTCAGATAAAAAATGCTTCACGTTCTCTGTTTTACGCATACTTCATGCTGTATTCGCACACTCTGTGAAGAGATTTTACACCTTGTCCCTCCTATAAAGGCTCGTAAAACCTAATATCCACATCAGCAACCTCAAACTTTGAATCTTAGGAGTGGAATAAAAATGGTTCCCTGGACTCCTGGGGAAAGTGGCTGTGACGTCTTGATCAGGGAGGGAGTTTCAAAGTAAACGTAATATAAATGAAAGCGATTTTACGAGGGCTATCGAACCTACTCTTCAATACTTTCACCTGCATGGTTAACCTTCAGTTTGTGGTTATCACGAAAACTTTGGAGTTGTCAGTTAGGATCTAGGGGACTATGGACGCACCCCAGGCTTTTTCTGTTACAAGATCTTAGTTGTAACTGTATTGAGTGTGATCCTTGCTCACTAAAGCTTTTCAATGCATAAAACAATTTGAGTGCTGGTTTGTTTTTATGTTCAATACTAGCTGGGTGCATGGCTGGATAGTGCACTGCTGACTGCAAAAATATTTGAACTGTCATTTAAAAGTGCCCGGGAATTACGTCATCACTACCTACTTAAGAGTGAACTCCCGTACCATCCATACTATTAGCTTGAAAGAATTTCGTGAAATTTTGCTCAGGTTCCATCTCCTTGCCGAAGAGATCATGTCCTTAAGGGTTGGCTTTGTAAAGTGATCTCTTGAGGACAGTAGACTGACGCAAGATATGTTCCAAATGAACTATGTACCCGCGAACCACATCACTTGCATGACACTTTACGGCCTGTCAGAAGTAGGAATTTGCAGATCATTCGGTTCAAACCACAATCAAAACGAAAGCTTGCACGAAGACACATCGGCTCAAGTTATCACAATTCAGAGTATTAAACTAGGTATATGAGGATACTAAATCCGATACGAAGCACTATGGTGAATATATTGTATACCGAACGAAGATAAACTATTTTGATCAACAAAATGTGAGTGTATGCATGAAAGCGGAAAACTTGGCTGGGCGGAGAAATGGATTCCATATTACTTTATTATTATTCATCCGCCTTTGGGTTCCTTGTCGAACGTAGGGCTACGTGGCACGCCACTATTCTACTCTATCATCTGCCATCTCTTGGACCTCACTTCACGACTGATCACAAGCTTTCATTTCTTCCTCACACGATCTCCTCCATGTCACCCTCGCCTCAGAAGCCCAACTCGTCGTTTCCCATGCGGGTTACACTCGAGGGACTGGCACGTGATGTCCCTAATCGGTCTTCTCAGTGTATCCCTGATTCATCTCCACTTTCTTCTACTGCATATTTGTTGGGTGATGGGTTCTCGGTCGGTTCGTTGCCAGTCAGCTAGAGTTCCTTGTTGCTTATCCTTTCTGGCCATCTGATCTTCAGTATCGAGCGTAGGCGGCTGTTGACGTATGTCTGCAGTTTGTTCGAAATGCCTTTCGTAACGCGCCAAGTCTCTCAACCATCACATTGAAGCACTGAATTGACTGAATTAGTGTTGAAAATTCGGATTTTGTTCACGCTTCCTGCTGAGTGAAGTAGATCTCCACACTGACTTCAGGTTAATGAAGGCCTGTCTTGCTGTCTTTCCGATCCCGGCTTTAACGTCCTCATATGTCCCTGTGCCGTCTGTAGTTGAAACGATTCTGCCTAGGTAGGTGAAACAGACTACTTCCTTGGGTTTCTCCAGTTCATGATGATTGGTGCTTGTTGTCGTTGTTCCTTGGGTATCTTCATCACCTCCGTCTTCTCTACATTCACTTGAAGTCCCGTCTTCGCTGTCTCACATCCTCTGTCAACTTGTTGGTTTTCGCCTGTAGATCTTCTAGTTTGTGTGACATTTGACAGAAATCACCATCGTCGGCAGCGAAATCCAAATCTTCTAGGCTCTTTTCATCGGTCAAACACCGTATGCCCAACTACTTGCTCCTCACAGTTGTCTGTTGCATGATCCAATCCAGTCCAGTCGACCACAATCAGGAAGATCATTGGTGATAGTAGGCGGCAACCTTGTCTTACTTCTGTCCCCTGTCTTCAACTCAAAGGCGTCACTGAGCTTTCCATTGTGAATCAATGACATGTAGCGTCATATATCATAGAATATAGCTGTTGAATGAGGTTGATAAAGATTTGTGATATTAAAACCGTAGTGTTGAAGCAGCAGTTGCCAAATCAATTCTCGGTCGACTCTGTCGAAGGCCTTTTCAAAGTCGACGAAGTTGAGGTAGAGTTGAGTTGACTGCTATTCTATGCTCTGTTCTGTGACGATGCGTAGTGTAGCGTTGCAATTTGATCCCCACATGATTTGTACTTCCTAAAATCCTGTCTGTTCTGGTCACAATTTTGAATCTAGCGCATTGTTTAGTCTCTCCAGGATGATGCGGCTTAATATTTTGCTTGGAGTGGACATAGGTGGAGCATGATTCCTCGCCAGTTCTTGCAAAGACTTAGGTCGCCCTTCTTTGGGAGTTTGACGAGGTAGTCCTTCTTCCAGTCAATCGACAGGTACCTTTCCTTCCCTTCCTTCCAAACCTTCTACAGTAGTGGAGCGAGAATGTCCGCTGTTGTCTCTGAGTCTTTTTTCAGTGTTTCTGGTGGAATTCCACCTGGTCCCGCTGCTTTCCCGGATTTCAGCAACTTTATGGCGTTCAGGACTTCGGCTTTTGTCGATTGGCCTGTGAGCACTGGATATTCTGTGGCTGAGTTCTTGGTGGTATTTCTGGACGAATTGCAGCTGGTGATCGATTCAAGAGTTTTTCGAAGCGGTCAGTCCATCATTTCCTTCGTTTCTCCTCTTTGCTAACTAGGCTTCCTTCACTATCTTTCATTTGTTTCATCTGCGCTGTGTTGATCTCTTCCCTCTCAGACAGTAAGTGACCTGGTTATTTGATATAATGCTGTCATGTATGTGTCTCTCTTACCTGCATCCTGTTCTGCTTCACTTGCCAGTGTATCGTAGAAGTGTCTTTTGTCTTTCCGCTCACTCTTCTTCGCTTCTTTGTCCAGTGTTTTGTAGGTTGTATTCAGTTCCTCTTTTCGTTGTGTATCCCTGTACTGCACTGGTTCATCTTCTGCTTCACCGTCTTCCTCCCCCTCCTCTATTGGCTTCCATGTGTTCGTCGAGATCCATTCCTTGTCTTATTTCTTCTTCCTTCCTAATACGGTTATACAGGTTTCCTTCCATGTCTCTTTCAAAGAGTTTTAGTGTTCTTTCATGCAGGTTTCTGCGGCGATGCTGCTTAATGCCTCCCATTCTTTCCTGATAACCGACTGACGTGAAGATGTCCTTTTTAGTTCCATCCTTCAGTTCAGTTTGTGTTCTGGGTGTCGAACTTGAACTCTCTGGTCTATCACCAACTTCGTTGAAGGCTTTCAACTTGATTTTGAAGACAGGTTTGTTCCTTGCACTAAATAGTGAGTGGTGTGAACCTACATCTGCTCCTCTTCTCGATCTGACCTTGTGTCCAGTAGGCCGCGTCTCCACTTTCTTCAGGTTGAAATGAAGTCGATCTGATTTTTAGTGTGTCCTTGTGTCTGGTGAAGTCCATGTCGCTGCCCTGAGAATATCCCTGTGTTTGTACACACTGCCTCCAATCGCCAAATCGTTGGATGCGCAGAAGTCTGCAAACGATTCTCCATTATCATTCATTTCACTGAGCACTTCTCGACCGATGACCGGTTCTCTTCCTGTGTTGTCCGCCCCTGTTCGGCATTCTTGTCACCCCACCCATTAGAGTGAGTATTGATGTCACCATCTGGGGTGGGGTCTTGTCTGCTACTGATTGCAGTTGTCTGTAGAATTCCTCCTTCTTCTCTTCATCTGCATTATTTTTAGGTGCGTAGCTTAGCGTAGCATTGAATGATTGTGACTTTCCTGCCTTCTCAGTTGATTTCATCTTACCATGATGACCACAATCCTGATGCTGCAGGAGATGATTGGTTCCCACTGCATGAGAGAGAGCCTTCAGTGTTGTTGAGGACATGATGATAGCCACTGGATATCTCGGGGTGCTCGTGGTTGTCGTCTGGGTGATAATATCGGAGTAGATTATAGACTCTCAGGTTGACAGTTTGGAGAGTCCACTTCGATTCCATCTGCAGATTCTTCGCAGATTCCTAGCACTTCTGTGCTATACCTTGTCATCTGTTTGGCAATCTGTGCAACCTTGCTAGCCATCTTCAAATATTGTGTGGACATTCTATGTGTCCATGTTTACTTTCACTCGCTTTCATCGAGGGAGAGAATACATATCGGCAGTTTACTTTCTGAAGTCTTCACCAACCGGTGTCATTTCGTCTCCTGGAGCCCAGCAAGGACTAATTTTGGTTTTATTTTTGTAATTTCTTTGTGTTTAGAAGTTTTTTTAGTAATTTGTTTGGTTTTTTGGGATATGGTTGCTTGCCGTTTTCCCAATCTTCACTGTTTGTGTCCATGGGATAGGCTAGAAACTAGTGAAGTACTTACGCAGGCGAGGTTATTCGAATGAATGCTCTTGGATAAGTAAGTGCATAGTCGGAGTGTTTGAAACGTATTGCTGATTTACATCAGTTTTCGCTGAAAATTCTTCAAAGAGGCCAATTTTTTCAAATGATTGGTTACGAATTTTGTTTGAGAAATAAAGAAACAACGTTACAATTATTCTAATCTTTCTCATGTTTTCTTCAAACTATTAGTTATCATAATTTCATGCAGCACTAAATATTTGGTTACTCGGTTCTTTCCTATACAACTCAGACGTAGATTTCATAGATTGTTGTAATTTTGTGATTGGGTCACACTTTGTTTTTGTGAATCGTAATATAACTCTGGGTGTTATACGTTTGAGTTGGTCCATCTTCTGTAGCACATTCCATTCACATCGTTGGGTACAATTTTACAACCACGTTGTCTGATTCCTTTGCCTTGCCTTTAACTCAGTA